TGACAGCTTTTTGATAGCTTGCGCTATGAGATTCCAATAGTAATAAGTTAACACAATTGGTGCAAACAAATCAAACGAAAAAAGTGATTAGTTTCAAACAACATATTAATAATGAGAACTCGATTTCAGAAAATTTCTAGCTCAATATATCGCATTTTTTTTTTGAAATGCGTAATTTATACATAATATAGCATTATGCTTTGCGATTCATTTTGATTATTCGTAGCCATGTTTTTGCTAACTCGAGGCTTATTTCTACTATTTCGTATTTCACGTGATAGAACCGCTTTTTGGTCGTGTTCACACAAATGTTTGCGAAGCGCAGCCTCGCCTCTGTGTAGACGATTAGTATCTCTTTTTTTACTCTAATATTTTGTACTCTTATAATTTATTAAAGGAGGGCAAACTCCAATATCGAACAGCAAAAGTGTAAAAGTCACATAAAACGTGATCGACTTCTAGTTTCGAAATTGGAATTTAATTATCATATTTCCCAGCGAAATAAAAGTTTCATTTCTTGATCCAGTTTTCTCAAATTGGGTTAGATTTTACAAAAAAGTGTTCATCATTCTTCTACTAATTCAAAGAGCTTTAAGGTCATCTATTTTTTCTTCGAAATTCAAAAATGGAAGTTTTTTTGAAAAACCAGTCGATTTTTTGTTCAGTTTCCTTGCGTTGATTACTTTTTTCCAACTGTCAGTTGGCTATGTTTTTCTCTGAATTTGGAAAGTTGAGATTTTTTGAGCGAAGTCAATGTTTTTTTATGCTTACTTGCGTTCATTACTCTTTTCCAATCTTCGATTAGCTATGTTTTAATTATACTAATGAAACGATGTAGATAATCACCGGTGATTTTCCGACGACCGAATCAAGAAAATGAAAAGTGACACTTAAAATTGTCCTTAAAGGTTTGGTTTTTCGCTGCTTGATTTTTGGTTTCTTTTTGATTTCAGTACATTTGCTTTGATAAGAGGAAGGCAAGCTCCACAATCAAGTACAAAGGTCACGGATCGATTTCTAATTTTGAAAGTGAATTTAATTTTTCACATCTCCCAGTTGAATAAAAAATGTTTCTGTTTTCAGCTCATTTCTGGAAAAGGCAAACTCCACTATCGAAAAGCAGAAGTGTAAAGGCACGAAAAACGTGATCGATTTCTAGTTTCGATAGTAGATTTTAATTATCGAATTTTCCAGTGAAGTTTTTTTTTCAAATTATTGATACAGTTTTTTCAAATTGGGTTAGTTTTATCGAAAAAGTGTCAATCATAAATTGCTCTAGAAATTCAGAGAGCTTCAAGACCTTATTTTTTTCTTTGAAATTCGAAAGTTCAAGTTTTTTTTTTAAAAAAAGTCAGTTTTTTCTATATCCTAGCGATCATTACACTTGCGAAGCAAAGTGTATTAGTACAAACTTCCTTTTAGGGCACTTTGACAGCTTTTTGATAGCATGCGCTATGAGATTCCAATAGTTATAAGTTAACACAATTGGTGCAAACAAATCAAACGAAAAAAGTGATTTGTTTCAAACAACATATTAATAATGAGAACTCGATTTCAGAAAATTTCTAGCTCAATATATCGCATTTTTTTTTTGAAATGCGTAATTTATACATAATATAGCATTATGCTTTGCGATTCATTTTGATTATTCGTAGCCATGTTTTTGCTAACTCGAGGCTTATTTCTACTATTTCGTATTTCACGTGATAGAACCGCTTTTTGGTCGTGTTCACACAAATGTTTGCGAAGCGCAGCTTCGCCTCTGTGTAGACGATTATTATCTCTTTTTTTACTCTAATATTTTGTACTCTTATAATTTATTAAAGGAGGGCAAACTCCAATATCGAACAGCAAAAGTGTAAAAGTCACATAAAACGTGATCGACTTAAAGTTTCGAAATTTGAATTTAATTATCATATTTCCCAGCGAAATAAAAGTTTCATTTCTTGATCCAGTTTTCTCAAATTGGGTTAGATTTTACAAAAAAGTGTTCATCATTCTTCTACTAATTCAAAGAGCTTTAAGGTCATCTATTTTTTCTTCGAAATTCAAAAATGGAAGTTTTTTTGAAAAACCAGTCGATTTTTTGTTCAGTTTCCTTGCGTTGATTACTTTTTTCCAACTGTCAGTTGGTTTTTTTTTCTCTGAATTTCGAAAGTTGAGATTTTTTGAGCGAAGTCAATGTTTTTTATGCTTACTTGCGTTCATTACTCTTTTCCAATCTTCGATTAGCTATGTTTTAATTATACTAATGAAACGATGTAGATAATCACCGGTGATTTTCCGACGACCGAATCAAGAAAATGAAAATTGACTGAAAAGAATAGCGAAGCTATGAGGCTGATGTTTGAGGCTGAGACGATCAAGCAAAATTGTTATACGATGGTTTCCTACGCGTGTTCGATATAACCTGAAAAAGGCAAGTGTAGTTAAACTCAACAGTACAGTAATAGCGTCATCGAAAGCCTTGATGTCTCGGAAGAAGCCATCACAACATTTTGAACTCGTAAACCAAAATTTAGGAAACCGTAATAACAATGCTAGAAAATAGTCTCAAAATGTCTCTGCATCTCTCTTCAATACAATTACTTATTTTCTTCTGAAATCTGCAAGAAGAGTTAACTGCAATTTGGGCAATATACGAGAGCGAAGACAATCAATGAGTTACGAACCAATAAATCTCCTCTGCTTAGTTTCCAAAAAGCTCGAAAGACTCGTATTTGACTGATTGTCAGCTGAAATGTTAAGACAACCTTATTCAAGCCAATAGGGGTTTTGACCCAAAAAGTTCTACCACAGCTAAGTTATTGGAATATTTTGACAAAACCTTCAACCTGGTTGAGGATGAAAAGGCTAATCACTTCTTAGCAGCATACATGGATCGTGAGAAAGCTTTTGACAAGGCAGAACGTGGCTTGATTTTTCATCCAGAAGTTATCATTTGGCGTAGGCGAAACATCAAACTTAATGAAAGCTTCTGCAAAATTGCAAATAATTCTCAACTGTTCAGCGACTCAAAAAAAAATCAGTGTTACGGCTCTCGCTTAATAACGATGTATTTGATCTGCTCATGATTTAATGACGTGAATAACAAATACGACTGAATTGTCTTTCATGATGTGTTTCATGTCCTTATAACTCCGTTATCTCCAAATTGAAACAAAGAAAGCCAAACACAATTTTTGGTGGCGCGCTTCAACAAACTAGCAGCATGTCCTGAAACCGAATTGATATGAGACTGTTGGATTAAAAAAATTTAAAAGAAATTCAAGGGGATGATGCACTGGAAGTTCTCTATCTGAAAATTTACGTAAACCGATCTGTGTACTTAGATAATGAACTGACTTGTAACTGCTTCATAAACCGAAATAATCTAGACATCAGCTCAAAACCGTTTAATTTTCAAAGCTCTCGAGCGCCTAGACCCGGTCGAAAATCCTGTATCATTATTATTATTTTTCCTATCATTATTGTTCAGACCATTCTCGAAGAGTGGAAAGTAAATATGCCGTAGGGTCAATTTTTAAGCCAATTTAAATTAACCCAAAAAAGCTGGCAGGGGTCAAAGTGAAAATGTGTGAAAAAGTATTAAAGCCCTTTTGATCGGTATTCAGATTCTAGAAAAATCGAAACTGTTTTCTCGTTATCTAGAAAAATTGATCTGAATTAGACAATTTCTGAAAAGAGGTTGACTTGCAAATTAAATGATTTTTCTTTCAATTTTAACGGTTTTTTAGCTTTTGCAACTACTTATTCCAGTATAAGTGCACCTATTTTTAACCTTTTTTTCCAAATATTATCCAGAAGGCTTTTTGGACCTAAAAATAGTTTAGAAAATTGAAAAAATTCTAAATCAGTTTGGTCGGAAAAGTATGTGCTACTTGCGCAGCAAACGTGTGCGTTTGTTACAAGGGCAACCTGGAACGTGATTATCTGTGAAAAGCAAGATGCCCAGCTATTGTTTTAGACTGATTCTATGGCTTGTCGTCATACTGTTGTCGCTGCTGATGTTGTTCTTGTTGTTGAGTGTTGACATACGAAACGATTTACCACGAATATGAGCCGTGCTGGTTTTTGTTCCAGAAAACTGTAGTTATCGTTCAATTTTGATCTTATGTAGGTCTTGGTTTTTGTTGTTGTTTTTTTTTCAGGAAAAAGTCCAAAATTTGTTCACGTTCAATCTTGAGTGATCGGGGTTAGTTTTTTGATTTCTTTCTTAGTTCAGTTCGTTTCCTTTGTTAAAAGGAAAGCATTATCCACTATCACCAGGAAAAGTGTAACGGTCACGAAAAACGTGACCGGCTTCTAATTTCGTTAATGGACTTTAATGTTCCGATTTCCCAGCGGAATTAAAAATTTACCAACTGATCCTGTTGTCCTTGAAATTTAAAGAGCTTTATGGCATATTTTTTCCGTAAAAGTTCTTGAGTAGAAATTTTTTCAAAAAACAAGTCTTTTGTTCTGTTTCCCTTGCGTTTATTACTCTTTTCAAACTGTTAGTTGGCTATGTTTTTCTTTATTTTAATTGAAAATCTTTTGCTCAAATCTTGGATTTAATATCAAGTGGTAACAATGGATTCTAATTTTCCGAATTCACATTGGAATGGAAAAAAATGTGCCCAGTTTTCTTCAATTGGGTTAGTTTTATTTTTTTTTAAATGTCTCCAATAAGAGATTTGTGTAATTCGGAGAGTTTTAACGTGGTAAATGCTTTTTCTTACATTCGCGAAATGAAAAAGGTGCAAAAAATGCACTTTTGTGATTTCCTTGTTTTTTGACGTTTTCCAATTGTCTGTTGGCTATGTTGCTGCAAACAGGAGTTGCTGCTTTGTTGCTACGTTCGATTGATTTAGGATCAAGTAAACGTATCAAGTAAACTTAGTTTGATCGATGACGTACCTTAGCATTTGAATCTTGGTAGTTTCAGAAGTTGTTATTTTGTCAGAAACTGAAATTGTGTGCTTAAAAAATAGTTAGAGATCAAAATGATTTGACTTTAGGTGGTGAATATGAGTTGGGATACTTGGTAGACCGATTGAAGGAAGTCTACACCGGCACCATTGGAATCGAGTACGTCCACCTGCGGGATCCAGAGCAAGTAGAATGGCTTAGGAACCGATTTGAAAACCCAGACCTGAGGAAATTCTCCAAATCTGACAAACGACTGATAATTGAGAGACTGATTCGCTCGCAGAGATTTGAGGAGTTCCTGGCGAAGAGATACCCTTCTGAGAAAAGGTTGAACAGCGCTGAATTCATGAAAAGCCATTTTCCGTTAAGGCAGATATTTTTTTGTTGCGGGGACAAAAAGTAGCTTTTCACCGTTTTAACGGTAGAATTTCATCTTCAAAAAACTAAAACGTATCTATATTTAGTGGTAATATCTATTTTTATAGATCATGTAATATAATTTTTTTAATCCCCTTTCACTAATCATTCCAATTGAAAAGAGCATTATTGCAAATAAAATAGAGTCGAGACAGCTGTTGTGAGTAGTTTCTTCAACGCGTGAAACAAATCGTGTCTTTTTCAAAAGATTTTCAAGTTGATTTAAACTGCTGGTTGCATAAAGAAACCGGACACAGTTTGGCTTTTGGTATCTCTAGAGCATTGCATAATTTTGTCTGTTTTGCCAGTTATACAGATTGCCTCAACGGGTATATTTTAGTATTCTTCATTCTGTACTATCCAATGATAAAACAAGAAGCGTCGAATGAGTGAAATAATTTTAATGATTTCTGTGATTCCAATCATAATTTGGCGTCTTCGTTTTCATTTAGATTTTTATGTTTTTTTTATTGTTGATTGACTTCAAAGGTGTTTAGGTTTGGGCTGGAAGGGTGTGAAGTGTTGATCCCCGGATTGAAAATAATCATCGATAAGGCGAATGAACTGGGCGCGGATACCTTCATTTTTGGCATGCCTCACAGAGGAAGACTGAACGTACTGGCTAATGTTGCACGCAAACCCCTCAACGAAATTCTCAGTCAGTTCAACTCCGATTTGAGGTAAGAAGATCCATGTACATGTTATTTGTTGAACCTAGGTTAAGAGTTTAATGGTTGTAAATTGGGTTTTTCCCATTTTAGCCATCCCTGCAGGTTTCAGTTCTACATAATACTAACGTACAAATGTGGCGTGGCTATAATTTTTTTTGGCTAGTGGAAGGGCTATAATAAGAAAGAGCTCTAAGTTGTTGGTAAATTTTTCAAGTTGTGCAAGATTTCAATGTTTTCTGAACGTCTTTTATCAGATCTTTAATTCAAAAACGAACACTAAGTCGAACCTTATTTTGAACATATTTCTCCAATAAAATATAAATACTTGAATGTTTACAGGGTTGTTAGTCCTGACTCTGGGTAAATTTAAGCGTTGTGCTTGGTTCCATTCAACATGACACGGACCTATCTCAACTAGTTGTAAACGAAAGTTATCACTGATAACCGATAAGGCCAGTCACCGTTGAAAGTGAATCATTAGTGCGATGTTATGTTGAAATTTAGCTTAGGCCAATGCCTGATGGTCTTATTATCGCCGAAAACATCACCTCCAAAGTGTTTTTGTTGCCTATGTCATTGTGAATGTTTATATAATACTCAGCGAAGTGCTATTTAATTTGTTCAAATGAGCGATTAGTATTTTTATTCAGTAAATTTGTTTTCGAACGTCGTGATCCTTTCATTATCATGTCATGATATGGCTCACATGAAAGGATAATACATTACTGCGCGTTACTTCAGCTTTTTCCTTTTTGGCAACAAGTTAGTTTTAATGTGCATTTTGCTAGCAACTAATTTAGACCTACAATGTCCTGATAAATATGTGAAGATGAGACGAAAATTAAAACTAAAGGAAGTTGTTTGGCAACGCATCATTTAAAATGTATAACTGTTCGAACTGTTAAGTGTGATTAATTGTGACTGTTGTTTTTGTTCAGCCCAGAGGATGAGGGAGCGGCGGACGTGAAGTACCACCTGGGAGTGTGTCAGGAGAGACTGAACCACGTGACCAGTAAGAATGTGAAGATCATGGTGTGTGCGAACCCGTCTCACTTGGAGGCAGTGGACCCAGTCGCTCTGGGCAAGACTAGGGCAGAACAGTACTACAATGGAGATCACTCGGGTAAAATGCTCGAGGCGGCTCTTTAATTTTTTTCGCGTGCTAACAGCATCTAATCGATCTTTTCTGTCAGTCGTAGGCGCTACCAATAAAAACAAACTTGAAAACATTTGATTGAGCTGAAGACCAAGCATTCTTTCATGGAAAAAAACTATAGTTTACTTTTACCCAGTCAGGCAGAAATGCTTAACTGTCAAACATCTTTACTCAACTAAGCCTTCTTGTCTTCTGTTGCAGGATTTATTTTCAAGTCATGTAACTTTTTCAAAATTGGCTAGTGCATGCATGCACTTCTGAAATTGCTGGAATCATGTATTATATTGGGCTCGTATGTTTTAGGGCGGCAGAGCATGGCCATTCTGATCCACGGAGACGCCGCCTTCTCCGGACAAGGAGTGGTGTTCGAGTCATTCCACATGAATGAACTGCCCTCATACACTACCCATGGTACCATCCACGTGGTAGTGAACAATCAGATTGGGTTCACAACCGACCCTCGCTTCTCGAGGTCCTCGCCTTACTGTACAGACGTGGCCAAGGTCACAGGGGCGCCTATATTCCACGTGAATGGAGATGACCCGGAAGCTGTAAGATATTCATACTGAATTTATGTTCTATATTGAAGAGTTCGGTGAATGACAACGAGACATTGAACTTAATAACGAGCTAAACAAACAAAATTAAGGCATTTTGGTGAATAATTGAGCAAATTAGGCGGTAAACGGATCATTGTTTCACAACTTGCTTGCCATCAAATCGAACGAAAATAAGACTAACTGCTCAATATTCGGCTAATAATTTTCTAATTGGGTGCCTTGCTTCTGCTTTGTTTGCTTTACTGTCTCTCATTACACAAGCAAAGCTTGTGTTAGAGTATGAACTCTCTTTTTTCCAGCCTAAGTCGCAAATATTGCTGCGACTCAAATGTCGTTGCGACAAAATGTGTTCATTTCGTTTTGATCAAAAACCAGCTATTAAGTACAGCCAATGCTAAGGATATTAACACAGACTTTTATATTCCAAATAGCACTTTAGCTTCAAGGTATCATGGATCTGTAGAGTAGATGTAGGGAAGGAGACCCGCAACAAAATTAGAGGGTTCGAACCTGGGCAGGGTCGGAAGTTATTAATGAACTTCTTCGTATGCTAGCTAAAATATGTCAGCTCTATAAATTGAGGCATGTTGAGTTGGTAAATTACTTTTGTAAGTTGACTGCTAATGCGTCATAATTGGCACTTAGCATTTATGTAGAATCATAATTGGCGTGCGTCACTTAAGAAATTTTGTACACTCAAAGTTTTAATCTTTCAGTTTTTCCCAGTAGCTTTATCGGTCATATTTTTGCTTGTGTATGCGAAGTTCAACTTCGCCTCTGTGTAATTGCCTATTTGATTCACTGTGTGGATCAAACCCATCTCCTTGCCATTCACTTTTTCCAACAAAACATTTTGATCATTTTTAAGACTAATGAACGTAGTGAGTACTCTTATATAAGTCTCAGTGATTTTTTTAAATGAAAAATCTTAAAATTTGTTCACGCTCAGTTTCGATTGTTCGCGGCTTGACTTGTGATTTCTTTTTGAGTTCAGTGCGTTTTCATTGTTAATAGGAAGGCAAACTTGATCGACTTCTGATTTCGAAAATGAAAATTAATTATCAGATTTCCCAGCTTCAACTTATCGCATTTCCCTTTTTTCAACTGCATTTATCTAAGTAACGTAATAACTCTTTTCAAACTGTCTGTTGGCTAAATTTGTTTAAATGCGCTGCTGTTTTTCCTCTTAATTTTTTTCACCATGCAAAATTTTCAGAAACGAACATTTCTTTGTCTGGATAGAGCCTGGTATAAAAACAATCAGCCAAAATATTAGCCTTATTAGTGCGGTATATGGCACCTCATTTTCCTACTGAAGTCGAACTTTTCATTACTAAGTCTTTGTGCTTAATTGTCTGTTGTTTGAACGACATGACTTCTATTCGCGTAAGCAACGCGCATTCATTGTAATGATTAAGTGTCATTGAACGAAGTGAAGGCACTATTTTAGGTCTTGTTTTTTGTTTGTTTGTTTTTATGGAAAATTGTGAACGCTCAGCGTTCTTTTTCGCGGTTTGACTTCTGATTAAGAGTCGATGGACATAGTTCAGACTCTTAAATAGGTCGTGATTTGTTTTTTTGTTTTGTTTTTCAGGAAAAGCTTACTTTTTTTCTGTTTGACTTTTGATTTCTTTCATTTCAGTTCATTTTTTTTGTGAGACGGAAGGCAAACTCCACTATCGAGCAGCTAAAGTGGAAAGGTCACGAAAAACGTGTTCGAATTTTTGTTTCGAAAATTGAATTTAATTTTCAAATTTCCCAGAGAAAGGAAAAATTTACCTATTGAAACAGTTGATCTTATTATCAAATTTTGTTAGTTTTATCAAAAAGTGCCAATCACAAATGGTTCTTCTTGAATTTCAAAGAGCTTCAAAGGCATATTTTTTTCTTTGAAATTTGAAACTTGAATTCAAAAGTCTTTTCTTTTGTTTCCTTGCGTTCATTGACGTTTTTCCAACTGTCTATTGGCTATGTTTCCTTTTTAAGTACACTGCAATATACGTTGAAAATACTTGAATAGTTTTTAGCGCTAAAGAATGCTTTTGATTTAAAGATTCCTCAGAGGAGTTAATCATGAAAGGTTTTTGATATGAAAATAGATTTTGAGTGATATTATTTTAATTAATGTTTTTTGGTGTCCTTTTCTCTCAATCTGTTGGTTTGGTTTAGTAACATGTGGGAAATTGTAAGAAAAAAATTGCAATAGTCTAGTTGTAAAAATTTCATTTTTAACTAAGTATTTGACAGAACTTTGTATTGCATCTGAAATATACTGTTTCCATGAGCTCAAAACAAAATATATTTTGCATGCAATGATTTTGTAAAGCTACATGGGGGTTGGAAATGGTATTCAAAAATCTTGAACAAATCTCAAAGAAAGCGATTAAGTCCAAGCCATAAAAATAATATTGACCGATCAGAAACTAAGCAGATACATGAATTTTTAGTTATTGCGAAATCGAAGTCGGGTATTGGAAAAAAAACTAGAACCAAGTTTTTTTTTTAAATGAAAAATAAAGATTTTTTTTTATATATCTGCACAAATTTTACAGCAAAATTTGCTGTGCTGTCACAGGTCATTATCTGTTAGAAAAAAAGACTTCGGCTATGTGCAAAAATCGTATAGCCAATAGGAACGTCTGGCGATTCTGAATGGTTAGAAGTTTTCCATCATTCGGTCCCTCCATCATGAGAATACCCCCCTGGCTGAACTGTTTTGGTTGCAGGTGATGCACTGTTGCAATGTGGCAGCTGAGTTCAGACAGAAGTTCGGACAAGACTGTGTGATAGACATAGTGTGCTACAGGAAGAACGGACACAACGAGACAGATGAGCCCTCGTTCACACAGCCGCTCATGTACAAGAAGATACGCTCCCACAAACCAGTGCTGCAGGTAATTATTATAATTCATATGATAAATTTAGTGCGAGTGCCAGGAATAAGACTTTCCTGTGTTGTTTGTAGCTTAAGTATTGAAATAGTTTTGAACCTAATGGCGTAGGTTTGATTCCCGTAGAGAGTAATTTTTTTTGTTTTTTTTTCCGTATTTCAGATTGTTTACTGTTTTGAAAGCTGCTATTTGACATTTTATGCTTGTTTGCGAAGTGCAGCTTCGTCTGTGTGTGATTATGAGTTCTTCTAGGTTAGTTTGGCAACCCTGTGATGGTTTGAAACGCGATTTTTTTTTCTTATTAGCCCTCAGTCCGTTCAAAATATCATACCCGATATGTTGAGCGTATGGTTATCTATGGTAATCTACAGCCAAGAGTCTCAGGGGCATCTACACCCCCCTCCACCTCACATGAGCATCAATTTTATGGCGTAACGAGGGGTTCACAAATTAAAGTATAAAGACCAAATATATTTGTCATGGCCTAACTAGTCCGCATGTTAATATTCTTAATGTGAATTTCATAATTTTCATCGGACGTGAACAAATATTTGAGTAAAAATTCGCAGAATGACCGAATATGCCATAATTTTTAACATGTCAGCGTCCGTAAACTGTTCAGAAACTGACGGCTTTTCCTGCTCAATTCAGATTCTTGATTACTGAATTCTGATTGATTTTCATAAGTCTCATTGTTTCGCTGCTGCTCTAGCAATACCTGGAGAAGTGTGTTGGAGAGGGAGTGATGACGAAGGAGGAGTTCAAGGAGCAGAAGCAGAAGTACGACCAAATCTGCGAGAACGCATACATGGAGTCCACCAAGAACCCAGTCTATAAGATCTCATCCTGGCTTGACTCACCCTGGAACAACTTCTTCAAGGATGGACCACTTGTATACGAGAGAACAGGTAAGTAATGCAAGATGGACTTAATTGTTTGCAGAGAAAGCTTATTGGGTTTCTAAATAGCCTTTTGTTTAGTTAATGTTCAGTTACATAATCCTGTTGGTTCTTTAAGCTTTTTCACTACCGTTCAATGTAACTTAATACTATTAAAAAAAAGACTTCGGCTATGTGCAAAAATAATATAGCCAATAGGAACTTCTAGCGATTCTGATTGGTTAGAAGTTTTCCTTCATTCGGTCCCTCCTTCATTCGGTCCCTCCTAGTAATATGTGTATCGGTCTCCCTTTTGTTGAATTTCTGATTACTCGTTTATGATAAAATGTTTGAGCACCAAGTTTAGAGCTACAAGAATTTTTTTATATTGTCTCCTGGCTGTCAAGTGACTCGAAAACTGATTCCAATCAATCAACCGCCTCAAGTTGCCATTGATGCTCCTTCATTTTTTATTGTGACATGAGTTTTAGCATCTATTTAACGAAACTGGGAAGCTTGTGTATTCATGTGGAAACTCATGTTAATTCTGTGCTTCAGGTGTGGACGAAGAGACCCTAAAACACGTAGGCACAATGCTGTCTACGATCAAAGACGACACGTTCAAGTCCCACGCGGGTATCAAGCGAACCTTGAAGAAGCGACTGCAGATGGTGGAGAACAGAGAGATAGACTGGGCTCTTGGGGAGGGCATGGCATTTGGGACCCTCCTGAAGGAGGGCGTCCATGTGAGACTGTCGGGACAGGATGTTGAGAGAGGCACCTTCTCACATAGACACCACGTGCTGCATGATCAAATTGTGGATAAGAAGACATACGTCCAGCTCAACAGACTCTATCCTGATCAGGTCAGATATCAACGCGCTTGTATTTTAGTTACTCCAACTAAGTGTATTAAAATTTTGACAACAGCGCTGAAAATTGTTGAGTTTACACCATTTATTGACAAAAAAGACGTTCAGCGCTGAAAATTGTTGAGTTAACACCATTAATCGACAAGATAAACACTCTTGACTAATATACGGCGTTCAATGGTAGGCTTCACACTATTGTGTCTTAATTGAAATGCAGAGAAACTAGCAACTCACGGCCTCCAGCTGCAAAAAAAGTTAGCTGGCACAATTCAGCTTCCGAAGCTTCATCGGCTGTATAATGCTATTACACAATCGGAGCGTTCTGTCATAATACGGTATCCACTTTCTGGGGGAATTTTGACTAATTTTGTCCTATTCTCATTTTCTTGAAAACTACCCTCCCTAATCTGAGATTAACGGTTCACTCAAAATATCATGTTATGGTGATCTTCTCTGAAGCAGCTTGTAGGCCCTTATTTGTGTAGAAAAACAGATATGGCCTAAGAAAAAAAAACAGTTTTTGAATTTTTGCCCGTTTTTTGGAACCTTCTCGAAATCCTCCTTTCTAAATCTGAGATTAAGGCCTTAATTGGAAAACAGGTTGTAGACATTTTTCTGCTTAAGTACGTAGGTCCTAATTTTTGCAGAAAATTAGTTTGGACTTGGAAAAGGTATATTTTTTGAATTTTTGACCATTTATTCGGAGACTTTTGTCGAAAACTTTGCCATCAAGAAATCTGAGATAAATGAATCATCGAAAGAACAGGTGCTAGGAATTTTACCTGCACTGCAACTAGGCACTTATGTATGTAGAAAAGCAATTTTGTATTTAGAAAAAGTCCATGTTTTTAAATGTTGACACTTTTTGTGATTTTATCAAAAAATTTTGTGCCAATAATGAGATTAAGGGTTCAATCGAAAGAACACGCTGTAGGGATATCCGCTGCACAACCGAATTTTTCCAATTTTGGTTAGGAATCGGCTATTACACTATTTTTAGGCGGCCATGGCGCAGATGCTAGGTCGTGTGACTTTTAATATCAATGTCGGGGACCGACTCAGGTGCATTGCAGACGTTCTGTTAGTTTTACCAAGGGACGGATCTAGGATTTTCTCGAGGGGGGGGGGGGGACTGATTTTCAAAAATTTTGTCGACCTTGTTATTTTTAGGTCGACCAAATTGATTTTCCGAGCACTCCCAGAAGTATTTTCACGAAAATTTTTGCGCCGCAGGACAGCCATCAGATCCAGAAGAGGATATTTTTGGGCATTTAGTGGAAAATTTTGCCCAAAAAATTGCGTGTTTTCGGTGTGCGCTCTCCTAAATTAGTATATATTGGTGCGTTTAGAAAATTTTTGGGTGGTTCAGTCGAAAATGGATCCCCCCACTAAATCGTCCCCTGGTTTTACCTTTTCTTTCCTTTTTTCAGGCACTCTACACAGTGTGCAACAGCTCATTGAGTGAGTTTGGAGTGTTGGGATTTGAGTTGGGCTTCAGTCTGGCCAACCCCAATGCACTAGTCATCTGGGAGGCACAATTCGGAGACTTCTCAAACACCGCCCAGTGCATCATTGGTTAGTAGATTCAATTCTTCTTGATGCAGAAAGTTAGCTCAATTTATAGAGCACATTCATGTAATGGAGTAATTATGAGCCCGAAAATCCAAACCAGTTTTTCTGCTTCTTTTTTTAAATGCCTTGCTTCGGCCGAAATTGATTAGAGATTTCCGTTCTTTTTTTGTCAAACGTGCAACTTTTTTAGACCAATTTATTGCCTCTGGTCAGTCCAAGTGGTACCGTCAATCTGGGCTCGTGATGTTACTTCCTCACGGCATGGAAGGAATGGGCCCTGAACACTCCAGTGCTCGACCGGAAAGGTTTCTCCAACTGTGCAGTGACGATCCAGATGTATTTCCCAAATACGCTCATCACGAATTCACAGTGAAGCAGTTACAAGACATCAACATGATTGTTGTGAATTGCACCACACCTGCTAATTTCTTCCACGCTCTGAGACGCCAGATCAAGTTGCCATTCAGGAAACCCCTGATAGTGATGACTCCCAAATCTCTGCTTCGACTGGACGATGCTAGATCGAACTTCGACGAAATCAGAGAGGGGACCAAATTCCAGAGAGTCTACCCCGAAATCGGATTGCCAAAAGAGAATGCAGAAAATGTGAAGAAGCTCATTTTTTGCTCTGGGAAAATTTACTACGACATCAAGAAGGAAATCACGAAGACGAACAAAGATTACGAAATTGCTGTCGCGCGTGTGGAACAGATCAGCCCGTTTCCGTTTGACAGGGTCCAGCAAGAAGTGGAAAACTTCCCAAATGCTAAAATATATTGGGCACAGGAGGAGCACAAAAATGCGGGCGCATTTGAGTACGTCAGACCAAGATTTCTTACTGCTATGGGTAACAAGAAGCCGATCGGCTACATTGGCCGAAAAGTGTCCCCCTCGCCTGCGTCAGGGTCGAAAGCGATGCATAAGAAAGAACAGTATGCGCTCATGAATGAAGTAGTATCGCTTGCCAATATTAACGAAGAGTAGAATTATGAACTTGACAAAACTGAACTTTACAAACTGAGACTGATACGCTCAATGTTCTTAGCATTGCAGCTACTTAATTAGATGCAATGTAAACTTGCGTATGAAATTTATACAAAAAGTCTCGCTACGTTGGGGGTGGCAAATCAAGATTGAAGTTGCTTGAAATAAATTGCATTTTATTAATCAAATAGAATTAAAATTAACATTTATTTATTTTTTCAAGGCTGTAGTAAACAATTTTTGAAGGTTCGCTCGCGTTTCTCTTTAAAATGACATTTTAAAATTAAGCGTGCAGAACAGTAATAGAAAATGTTTCATTTGAATCGGTGTAAAGCTCTCGCAGTTTGAACAAAACTTCTGTTGACGTGAATTTCTACTACTAGCAGAACATGTGAGGTCTCCACGAGGTTTGAAAGGCTTAGAAGACATAGAACACGTATTAAACTCGAGTACTCTTGTGCGATCTCTGCCACTGTTGCCGGATTGAGCTGTTGGTGGGTCGAATAGCTCGAAGTTTTGCTTGATTCGGCTTCTTTTGGGTCCACATGTGCAATAAGCTCTCCCTAAAACAATAAAAATCAATCAAACGAAGAATTATTCGAGAGTTAGGGTATTGCAGCCTGGAAATGAGTCTTTTTGGAATATATTTACCCTAATTCAAGGGTCGTGACAGATAAAATTATATTATGATCATCCTTATCACATGATATTTTTTATTTTACATGGCGATGAAATAATTTTCCCTGCATTTTCAGCCTAACGTTCTAAAGTTCAGCAACGTGATCAGTTAAAGTTCTGTTAGGTGGTTTATGTAGCATGTAATTGGTCGTCGAAGTCTCTTAGGCTGCAGAGACCGAATGTTGAAAAACAATAAAAGGCAATCAGAATTGAGTGTTTAAACCGAAGAAATCACAAAACTCTCAAAGAAAGCAAATAAACCCATGATAGGACATCAAAAATATTATTGACCGATTAAAAATAAGCAGATTGTAGGTACATCAATTAACAAATACTCCAAATCGAAACCGCATTGGTAAAAACAACTTATTTTTTGAAGGATACCGATTCAAGAAAAATGGAAAAACAAAACACTTTAATTTTCTGCACGGATTGTAACTTTTATAATTCATTTTGCTCATAACGACATCAGTTTTGTACAAAATTTATTCATGATCATATAATTTTAATTGATTGAAAATTGTAATTCTACAACAGGAAAAAAGTACGAAGGAAATTTTTTTTAACAAAGTCTTCTAGCACGAGTGATGACATTGCCGGTTTTAAGTATTTCGCCTGCATTTTGTTTCACCAATATCAAATCAATTTGTGGTTCCGACCATTGAAAATGGGTTGAAACTTTATATTAGTTTTTTATCAATTTTTTTTGTTTTTCAAGCAAAATCAGGTTTACAAATAATAATCGGATTGGGTTGAGTGATATATCATATTAAAGCCCTTTCAGTCGTGATTCGAACCACATTGAAACTTTTCCAAAAATTTAATTCCAGGCAATATAAACTAATTTATGGCGTTATTTAGCTTCATTTCATCAAAAGTTTTAGAGAAAAAAATTTTTAAAATAGTTTTTTGCTTTTCTAGTCAATTTTAGACAAAAATTTCTGTCCAATTTGCAAAAATTACTATGACTGTCTAATATGCGTAAATCATATTGTAACGTCAGATCTTTTCATCACACCAAGCAGAGAAAAAACTGATTTGGAAAAATTGTAGTTACTTTCTGAACCGTAGTTTTCTAAAGAATATGGGCGGAACATTCTGTGCTGCTTGCACAGTAACCGGTTATCCTTGCTACATTTTAGAATTAACAATATACATGTCAAATAATTTGGTTGATTTTGAGCATAGCCGAGGCGGGTTGGCGTAGATTTGTGTCCCATTTCATAAAAAATTTCGTCCTGTAAAATAGCAAATTTCAATTATTAAAGAGCAGATCATAAAATAGATGCAGTTTACTGAAACATCACGAAATCAAACTTTGCACTAGATAAGCGCACAATTTGGTGAGTGTAGATCTCTGGAATCTAGAAACAAGTTTTTAAATATGTTAAAATTATGTCGGAATGATCAAAAAAGGAAAGATCAAAAGATCCGACTTGACCGTTATAGACTGAAAGCGCTAATCATACAATTCCATATACAAAGTCAATGAAAAAACTACTCAGTGAAATTTCATGCTTTGGAAATACAAAGTGTAATAGAATTTTAAGACCTTTTTTATGTTTTTTATTAAATGTTCCATTGTCATAAATAAAAAAGACTAATTTTTTGTCGAAAAATTGCAATGATAATCACACATTATTCATAATTGAAAATTGTGTGACTAGCATTTTTTGATTTCGACTTTAAAATTTTTTTTTAAATTTTGAAATTGCCACAAGTAGGATCTGATGGAAATTTCATTAATACCTTGGGCACTGACAAACAGTAGGTTAGTCTGCCCGATTCGGTGAGCTCTGAAAGGACGTCCCGGGTCACAGTCTACTGAACAGAAAAACGAGCAGTTTGTCGTGGTGTCAACGTTTTGCACGTGATCAGTGTAAATGTATTTTGTAGTTTCCAGTTGACATAATATTTTCGAGCCAGTTTCGAACTCAGGAAGCCCAGTTGAGACAGCTGAGAAGAAAAAAACTGAGCCAAAAGTACTAACCAAGGCACCAATATTAGTTATTACACCAATTGAAAAGGACATAACGACTGTCCATCCCATTGTCAAAGACTGCATGAAACTAAATAGCGTAAATAAACGAAGAGTTGAGTAATTTTTTTGGCCGGATGAAGCCTTGTAAGAGATGACGTCAGATTTATCGCATGAACAGATGTTGTCCTTCACATCTTGAGTTGTGTAGATTCCGTTTTTGACTAAAGAGTTCATGAGACAAAAATCGACTGAGTGCAAACTGGCACCTATCCACGCAGTCTAAAATAATGCAAACAAGAGTCTTGTTTTAATTCATTGTGAAAGAAAAATTATAGAACAAAAATCCAAATTCTTTGTTTCCTATTCAGTGTAGTTTTTGTGAGCAGATTCAATGGTTTAACAGGTTCATCAAAACTGGGTTGATTTCCAGTCAATCTGAAAATGTTTTCACGGTTTGAAAGAGCTTTCAACTGCGGAATTTGTATGCGTAAAATTGACCAAACTCTTGTCTGGTGCTGATTCGTTCTCAAGTTTAAAAAAGTTAGAAAATTACCTGCATTCTCGAAGCCATTATTAACTGATCCACTAATTCATCATCATCGTTAACAAACTGGTTGTTGGCAACAATGAATCCGCCCTCGTCCAGAATGTAGCACTGTAGTTCTGGTAGCTCAGACCGCAATTCGGGATCCCAACATTCGGGCATCAGGGATTGCAACCAGGTCAGAAGTGCTTTGTACTTCATCACAACGCCTAAGCATCTTTTTTTGCAGAAACTGGCAACATAGAACTTCAAATGAGTTAAATAAACTCAAGATGAAGATAAGATTAAGTATGTCTGAAATTCCGCCAAAGGAGTACTTTAAACGCCAATTGAAGTTTCAAACTAAAAACCCAAAAGCTGTTTTTTTTCTCATCTTTTCCGAGACCCGCATATAAAAATGACTGAAAACGTCGTAAAATGTTAGAAGTGTAGCTTTTGTGGTGCTTGAATTACACAAGAACTATTGTTCTTTGGAAAGATAGCCAGCAGTTGGTCAAAAACGGTGCCATCTCAAAGTGTATAGTGTGGCACCTACCGAGGTTTCCATAGTTGTATCTCTTTCCGTCCTTTGTGGTAAAGAGAGAGGTGGTCATGATGAGGGGGAATGTGTAAGTGCTCCTGTCGAACTCCCAATACGCATCCTCACTCTAAATATCACTCTCATGATCCAACATTTTTGAGAACTCTTTAGTAGTTTTTTCCAACTCTAATTCAGATACCACAATTATTCATCAGAATGTGCGGGGTGATAGATCATAAATCCTTTTCAGTCCTGAATCGACCCACATTAAAAATTTTTAAGCATTTCTCTGCCGAGAAAAAATTAACTTCAAGTTTTTGCTTTTAAGTTTAATATGCTCGCACTGAAGTTCCATGGATGGTAATCGATAATAATGAATTTTTGTATTCAAAGATGTTGCCATTATAACTGATTATAAATACAGTTTGGGTCCATAGACAAACTTTTCCGCAGAACATTTTGTTGCTTTACTTATATATGCTTGGAAGGATATACGCGTCTTTTTTGTTATACGGTCCAAAACTGCAGGTTTTGGACCGTATAACAATTTTGGATCTAGGTTTTGGATCTATTTCAAAAAATGGATCGAAAAAATGAAATCTGATTGGTTAAAACTAATTCCCTCGAAAGATAATCTGCGGTATTTACTTAAAGCAGCAGCTCAATTAACAATGTGGTTATTATTAACCGTATAACAGAAAAGACTAGGATGTTTTCAGACTCGATTGCTTACCCGAAAACATTTATGGGATGCTTCTCTATGGTAATTGTATGCCACCCTCATCTGGAAAGTGACTCGTCTGTCGCCACTGGAGTTGAAGTAGTTTCTGGTAGCTTGAACCAGTCCACTGCTCTTCCTCCTCAAACTCTCCCATGTCAGATCCAGACTGGAGTCATTTGAGTTTCTCTGCAGAACACCCAGCACACCACTAGAAAACGAAATTCACTACTTCGTGAAGAAACAACCTTGAATGTCGGAGAATTCTGGAATGTCGAACAAGTCGAACAAGTATGTCGAACAAGTCTGGAATGTCGGAGAATTACTAGATACGGACTATCCTTGGATAGGCTTTTAAAAGCCTTTGATAGCTCAACTGCAATTGGCAGAAACGAAGTTATAAGAAAAACTGACTTCAATATACAGAAGGATTTCTCATGCAGACTTCATTACGAAAGTTCAGTAGTAGTTTCGCAACTGTTTCATCACGCACGATGGAATGAATTCACTGTCAGAGGGCCGCCAGGCCCGAGGATAGTGAATTAATTTCCCGAGAGCTTGAAAAAACAGTCGGGAAAATGCTTTTAGTCAACGAAAAATTTATGTATTCATGCTTGTTTTTCACCTATTTTTCACTTGCTTAAACAGTTTTTTTCTCACTTTAAAACATGATTTCAAACTACCTTAACAGCTCATTTGCTAGGGTGCATGTAAAGATTTTTTAAGCCAATTGAACGCTGCAGATGAATTAATTTAAAAAAAAAACAAATTGAACGTACTGGACTTTTCAAGAACTGCGTATGAACGCACGCAATTTGACTAGTTTAAGTTATTTCATCAGCCGATATTCATTATTTTATAAGAGCAATGAACGTAGTGAAGACTCTTAAACAGGTTTTGCTGACTTTTCTTTTTAAGGGAAAGTCTTAAAAGTCTCTAACAACTACAGATGTGCATTCATACATATTGATGCATTTATGAAAGCACTTAGCTATATATGCACTTTTTGAGTTCAATTGAAATTCATCTGCTGAAAATGTCGTAAATAGCACTCTCTAATGTTGAACAAAAAGAGGCCAAACTGTGCATTTCGTTAGTTGAAAGCGGATTCCGCAACAAGGACGCTCACTTTGTTCTCCTTTTGTTCTTCAGTTTTCTGTGATCATGCCGACAAACTTTTAACATGTTTAAAGACTTGTATCTGGATTCCAGAAACATACAAACACAAAATTGTGCGCCTATCCAGTGCACAGTTTGGCCTCGTAATGAACGTGGAAATGGCGCATAAAAACGATTTCTAGTTTCGAAAGTGGAATTTAATTTTTAGATTTCCAGCAGAATAAAACTTTACTTTTTGATTCGTTTTTCTCTACGTGGGTTCATGGCAGAGCTCAACTTAAATGGCATCTTTTGTTTTCTTTGAAATTCGAAAGTTAAGATTTTTTTAGAGAAAGTCAGCGTTTTTTTATGTTTATTTTTTAAGTTTACTCAGCTCCGAAATTTTTAAAGATGATATTTTTATTCTATGTACGTAAAAACTCAATCTGCTCGTGATATTTTTATAGTTTTACAGAATCCCGGTTTGACCAAAAATGCTTGTCCTACAGTTTTTCCTAATGAAAAAATGCTTATCATACTATTTCGTACAATTTCATTGATACAGAGTATGTTGAGAAAACTCTATGATAAGCATTTTCTCATATATGGAAATTGTAGGACAAGCATTTTTCATGAACCAAAAAGTTGATTGTTTTTTAAAAAGTTCTTAAAGTTTTTGGGATGTGCTTGTGACCGAACACAAGTGACTAAACCAACGCTTTACTCAAAACTAGAGTCACCAAAAGGTTGATTGTCTGGCAATTACAATGCATTGGAAACGACCTAAATTGTGTAAGAGTTCTTTTCACAAATAAGATACTGAAAGCATCAAACTTTTAATTTTTGGCAAACATTTTCAAAGATGATTATTTTTAAAATTAGAATTTTTAAATTATCAGACATTGATCAAGGTATATATAAACATGTCATACAGAAGAAATATGAGTTTTTAGCCTGTTTAAAAAAGGTTATCCAGAGAAAAGGAAAAAAATCCCATTTTTGTGTATCCAGGACTACATTATGCAGAAAAATATTGAAACTTGCATGCAAAATTTTTTTTGGAAAAGTGTTTAGTTACAAAATTCGATTTGCGGTTGAAAAAAAAAAACAAACAAAATTTGGGGCAATTTCAATTTTACTTGTCGCCATCAACAAAATGCTAGTCATACAATTTTCATATATGGAAATTGTATGACAACCATTTTTTCCAAAAAAAGAAACACAGTTTTATTTGGTTCAACTAGCCGCGCAGAAACTAGTTCGAATCTTTTTTCAATGATTTTTTGAAATTGTATGAAAATTGTATGACTAGCATTTTTCCATACATTTGATGTATGGAATTGTATGATAAGCCTTTTCGGTGTATGGAATTGTATGATAAGCATTTTCGGTGTATGGAATTGTAAGATAAGCATTTTCGGTTTATGGAGGTCAACCCGGGATGTTTGGCATTGCAAAAATGGTGGTATCTACCTTCTCGGAACATACTTCAAACTTCAATGGAAAATAAAATAAAGTTTGAAAAAACAACCTTTTGTAATGGTTTCACATGTCATACCTGTTTGTAATGAAAAAAGACGCTTCGACTGTGTCTGGGTCGAACAGTCTGTTGAATGAGAAAGAGGCTCTGTCTTCTGACTGGAAAGGGGCGAACAGGGGCTGTTTGTTCACCCACAGATACACCAAATAGAGGTCACTCAACATGCCCCAATACTGCTCACTCTCCTTACATTCTGGCACGAAGGGGAAGAAAGAGGACTGAAAAAAAGGGGCAAAAAACTTAAAAAGTTGAAATGTGTGATAATTTTTTTCACGAGGGATAACACCAACATACGAGCTGTTCAGCTGTTGACGGATTATGACTGTTGAGCCCGTACTTAAGACAATTGAAAGCATTATTTGCGTAAATTTTTATATTGTGCAATATTGCTTGTTCAGTTCGCACCCTCAAGCATCTTAATCTAGACAAAATAACAAAATTTTGTCCAAAACGGTTTTTGATTACAATGAGTATTTTCAAGACACTCCACAAAATTACAAAAATTGAGAAATTGCGAAAACGAGGCAAAGGTTGAAAAAGACAAGGCTCATTATTATTGTTACTAGTTCTTTAAAATGTAACGCCTCGTTTGTTTTACCAATGGTATATAGCTCAAACTACATTATGAAATATGAGCATCAACCCATATATAGAAATGATACGTTGGCTCAGATCTAAGATTTTTTTGATGGGGGTGTTTTATCCCATAGTTAAACTTTTTGATGAGAAGATATCGCAGATTCATCATTCAAGGAAAGATATTTAATATTAAATATTTTACCTGAAAAACAGTGGAGTTTAAAAAATCCATCATCTGCAAACCACTGAACAACTCCAAATTTCCAGGGGACCCTGGACAGTATGTCCTCGAGTCCAGAACAACTTTAAACTGCCCAGACTTCAAACTCTCATTTTCATAGTAGCCTAAAAAGGTGTTCCGGATCTTTTCACTTGTGTCCGATATAGATCCGGCGCCTCTCTTTGGGTGCCAGAACCTACCCCAGGTCGACATCTCCTCTCTGGATACAAATGTAAAGGGGAACCTATCAATTGGCCACCATGTATAAGTGACGCTGTTTATCCTTGCCAGATACTGATGCCCTGGAATATTTGTCAGTCTGGGCTTAAAAGTATGGCTATACGGCTGTCGGAGTAGAGTGACGTCGAAAAGAAGAGTCAGTTCCGATGACGTTAGAATTTCGGGAACTACGTCGATAAAGTTGATTTCTGGGAACTCTTCTGTTTCCAGTTTGACCAGGTTCTCGATTCCCGAAGTCATTGAGACATAAATTGTTTGGGAGTCGACAAGGAATATCTAAAAAGAAGTTAATTTTGAAAACGAAATTAAAGCCAAACTCGTATCAAGTTTGCTAGAATTCTCAATTTTTTATAACTACCAAAAAATTGAGATTTCAAACATTTTACTTTTTGTTTGAGCTTACCTCGTGAAAACTTCCTATTGCGCGGAATCCTGATTTCACATTTCTGTTCCGACAAAGTGGCTTATGAACTCCTTTTGAGTTTTTTTTCTAAACATCAGGAAAAGGAAGTTTTCTATAATGTCTTAACCTCTGCGTGTGGACTAATCCATGACTCGTCCACCCATTTATGGAAATAGTCCAGGTGTACATCCTGTCCGACCACCCCCAGAATTGAGGGACCCTTCCCATCATCCTCGTCACCCCATCCATCCACCGATCCCCGTGAGTTGAGTCGGTTGTACCAGTCACTGGAGTACTTGAGGGGAGACTGGGTGGGCTGGTGGAACACGGGAGAGGAGAGGGTAAGGACAGGGAGGCGGGAAGGGGACCAGGTGCTGGGGTAGACACGTGACCACACTTGAAATCCTTCTGTATACGCAGATTCATCTAAAAAAAATGTTTTTCCAGAAATAAGTTCAATTATTTTCGTTTAAACCTAACAACCCTCCCACCTCCCCCCCCACACCCCCTTCACTTAAATTCATCCAAAAGAGCACACATTTCTATTCCGACAAAGCGGCTTATGAACTCCTTTTGAGTTTTTTTTTTGATAAAACTGTGGTACCGCAACTGCTACTGCATTTGCAGTAACCATATAGTGGCCTTGGTCATGCTGTTCATATTTTTATCTGTAAATTATATTATCCTATTATGTAAACCAAGGTCAATTACTACGTGACCTTTATTGCTAAAAATAGAGAGCTTGTCTCTCAGATCTGTGACTTCGTACACAGTCGAACTCGGATAAAGAAATCCAAATAAAACAATACGGTTTCAACTATTAAATTAACTCTGTGAAACCAACTCTGTTTTCATTATAAACCTCAGAGGTTCTGTTAGTTATCACATGGCGCAGCCAGCAGGATCCGGTTTACAGCTCAAGACAATAGGACCGATCTGGGAATCCCAGTGTTCTGGGCATCCGCAAATTCAGATCCACCCTGGAATTTTGAAACATGGCTTGATCAGTTCCTGTTAGCTGTTACGGTTAAAGAAAATGTGGATCCAGAAGTAATGTTAGAAGAATCCAAAACTTTACTAGAAGAACCTCTACCAACTCCTGAACCATCAGCGCAGAACGAGGATGCGCCTGCAATAGCAGAGAGAGAAGCCCGGAACAGATTGGCTCGGGATAGAGTGGTTCAAGAAAATGAAGAACGGGTATTGAGAGGACCTAGAGTGGGACACAATGTATTTTATCATGAAGTTGGAAAACGGTTGACATCGAGATTATTTCTTGCTTTGGGCGCTGAAGGGAAGAAAAAATTTATTCAAAAGAATCCTCACACAGAGATATCTAAACTGGGGTTTCGGGATATAGTTCGTTTAGCCAAAGTCTCATTTGAGAAGACGAAATGTATTACTAACGAGAGATACAAACTGTTCACGCGATCCCATGAACCAAATGAAACGCTGGAATCTTTTCATGCGGCGCTGACTGCACAAGCAGCAAAGGCGGATTTGGGAGCACTGGAAGAAGAGCTGGTAAGAGATTTATTTATTTCCCGGATGAAAAATGTTGTCCTTCAAGACACATTAACTTTTGAAACATTTTCTCCCGAAGAAGTCTTAAAGCGTGCGATAAAATTCGAACACAGTAAACAAACTACCCAAGCGTTCCAAAAATCTTCATCAAGTATAAACAACGCAGGATTGTTTTCAAATTCACAATTGAAAATTAAACAAGAACCGATTATGGCGATTGGGAACAAGGGCTATAACCCTAAACGACAAAGTCAAAATCAAAATAGAAGAAAACAGTATGAGAACAAAAATACTCAAAAAGCTAAAGGAGATCAAAAACAATGCACGAGATGCGGCAGAGCGTTTGGAGAAGGTCATTTAAAAAATGGTCCGACAATGGGTAAAACGTGTAAGAACTGTTATAAACCCAATCATTTCGCAAAAATGTGTAGATCCCAGCAAGTTAACGAAATCACAAATGAAGGTTCTAGTTCAGAAGAAGAATGCAATTTAATACAAACCTTTGATTCATGCGACGATTTTGAGATAATGGCCGTAGAGGAAGATCTCACTTCCATCGTAAACATTGAAAAGTACATCAACAGAGGAGTATTAGCGAATGTGTTCGATGAGAAAAATATTCAGAGGGAATCGTTGACGGAAAAATCTGTTAATATCGAAAAAATCGAAATTCGCAGGAATCCAAAATCTCATCAAATTAACGCATTGAAGGCTCTGGTTAAAATTGATAGTCATATTTTGAATATGACTATAGACACGGGTAGCCCAGTATCACTTCTGAATTGGACGACAACAAAACAAATTTTGGAAGGATCCTCGAATTCAAAATTTATTCCAGCAGAAAAGTTAAACCTGCCCGCGCAGTTTATGGATTATAATAAACGACCTATATTGATATTAGGAGCGTTGAAAGCTAATCTGCGTTCGGCGGGTTGGGAAGTGTCGGGAGCGATGCTACTAGTCACAGAAAGACGTATGCGATGTATACTAGGTCTAGATCTTCAAAGTAAACCGGGAATTCAGACTACTCAAAAATCAGCTCCAACACGAAAATCCAGTTTTGACGTGCTACTGTGCGAGCAGTCAGAAGGTTGGAAAAATTTTTTTTATATGAAATTCAAAGACCTATTTGATACACAAGGGGAATCAAAAAATCATACGGTGAATACAAAATTTAAATATCCTTTATGTCCGATTCAAGAAAAAGGTAGGAGAATTCCTATACACATTCAGGATAAAGTTCAAGCAGAGCTGGACAAAATACTTGCAGAGGGACACATCGAAAAACTAGATAAATGTACAAGCGACTGCTTTATCGCTCCAATTGTCATAACAGTTAAAAAAGACAACTCTATCAAATTAGCTTTGGACGCAAAACCCATGAATAGACAATTGTATAAAAATAAATATCAGATGCCCAATGTGGACGAACTGATCGATGGTGTTAGCCAGATTATCACGGCAACATCAGAAGCTTCTCTGTATTTCACCGCGTTAGACTTAAAATATGCTTACAGTCAAATAAGGCTAACTGCGGAAACAGCAAAGCAATGCAGTTTCAATATTGTAGGAGGTCAAGCAACGGGAACATATAGATTTCTGACAGGGTTTTACGGGCTGGCAGACATGCCTACCGAAATCCAGAAAGCAATGGATAGAACACTGAACCACTCAAAAAATACCTTTTGTTTTCTGGACGATATCCTAATTGTTTCAAAAGGGAAGCTAAGGATCATGAGAAATTGGTTCGCAATGTGTTGCAAAAGTTGGACGACAAAAATCTCGCATTAAAAATTACGAAATGTGAATTCTTTCAGTCCTCAGTGAATTGGTTAGGCCATAATTTATCGGTACACGGTATAATAACAAAAATTACAAAAACTGAGGCTATTGCAAATCTCCAACTCCCCAAGTCACTGAAACAACTCAGATCGTTCATGGGTAGCATCAATCACTTATCTAAATTCATCCCAAATGCGGCTAGTTTAACTGAAAAACTTCGACCACTACTGAAAGAAGAAAATGAAAAAAAGAAAATGAAAAATGTTCGTTTACCAGTGAAAAAATTTGAGTGGGACGATCAACACTCATTTGCTTTGAGGATATCAAAAAAGCAGTAGCTAACATCTCTTTATTAAATTATTACGATCCGTCAAAGCAAACCAGAGTAAAGTGCGATGCAAGTCATAGCGGCCTCGGGGCTACTCTTGACCAATGGTCTAACCAAAACGAATGGGTACCGATAGCATTTGCATCCCGGTACTTGAATTCTCAAGAAAAAAAATATTCTACCAATGAACTCGAACTGCTAGCAGTAGTTTGGGCGGTAGATCGCTTTAAACATTATTTACTGGGCAAAAAATTTGTCATAGCGACTGACCACAAGGCGTTAATGTCTGCTTTGGGGGAACATAGATCTAATAAAACGTATCAATCTTGACTAATCAGGTGGGTTGATCGATTATTACCGTATCAATTTAAACTTACTCATATTCCGGGAAGGGATATGGGTATCGTTGATTATCTGTCAAGAGAGCCCAATGGGGAACCATGGCCGGAATCAGAACTTGACGAGAGATTTGTAGTGACGTCTATTGAAAGTTTCCATAAAGCACTCGACTGTTTGAACAGTCGGTTTAGTGAAACAAATCCAAATAGTGCTATTAACATTCTAGAACATTCTAGAACACAAAGAGAAACTAGCTACTGTAAAGACAGCTCATCACGCGGTTGCTATGACAACCAAATTTTCAAAACTGGACAAAGCTCGACCGGAACGAAAACGGTCAAAGCTTACGTTTTCAAAAAGATCAGAACCAGAAAAACACATTGGACAAAATAGCTTGCGAGAAACAGTCGGTCAATATCTCACAATTTAACAAAAATTCAGTCAGAAAAGACAATAGTAAAATTTCACAACGATCAGCGGAGATGGAGAAAAACAAAACAGGAAAGTCAAGGAAAATGATAATCAGACAGAATGGAGATCGGAGGGAGGACGAACTGACAGAACAAGTGACGGAAACCACCTTTTCCCGAACACGTATGGTGAAGAGAGGAGCTGCGTGCAGTAGACAAGACGACTCAGACAACTCCGATTCAGATGTGCCCCAGGTTGAGTGGAGGACAGTAAAGAAATCCTTCAGGCCTAAAGGATATAAAGAAATAACATCTGCAAATACAGCAGGAAATGTCGAGATAACTCTAATGTCATTCTGGGACCTCATGGGGGCAGAAAAATTAGATAACACGAAAAGCTTACTGGAACTAGAAGCACGGACAGTTCTTGATGACAGAAACAAACGTGATCAGACATTGGAAACAAATACTCACAGAGAAAATCCCCCAATCATAGAAGTAGAAGTGGACCTCACAGCTGAAAGCCCCTCAGAAAGTCCAGAAGTCAGCATAATCAAAAAGGAGAAGACAAGTCACAACTCCAGAAGAATCAGCTCGCATCAAAAAGAAACGAGTACAGAAATCAGCCTTGACAATCTCACCAAGTTGTTCGATAGAAGTATATTAGCAGAATTGATATCAGAGGACGCTTGGATGGACAGACTTCGGCGGGTGATTGAGAAGAATGATCGTCACAGTTTCGATTTGATGGGCCCGTATACCAATCCCCTCTGGCATCAACTCTCTGTAGTGGACGATTGTATACTGGTGTACAACAGACTAGCTGTCCCCGAACAATTGCGCTTAGCAGTGCTGAAGAGGATTCATCGCGGTCACCCAGGTCAGGAAGTGATGCTCGATGTTTCGAAATACCTGTGGTGGCCGCACATGCACAAGGATATTGTCAATCTGGCGGCGGAATGCAGAAGCTGCACTCGTTATGGTAAGAATGCAAAATACATCATCCCAAAAAATGCTACCAAGCCTCTTCCACTGCTAACGCAGCCGGGCCAAGAAGTTCAGTTAGACTACGCCGGCCCACTCGAAGACTATAAAGGAAAAAATATATATTTGCTGGTAGCAATAGATAGGTATTCTAAATTTCCATCGGTGAAAATCACTCAATCAACAGGGGGAAAGTCGTCGAAAAAATTTCTTCGCTCATACATTAAAATCCTTGGGATACCCGAATCAATTTGAACTGATCAATTTTCCGGTTTCAAAGGTAAAACGATGCAAAAATATTGTTCTGACAATAACATTGAACAAAAATTTTTTCCAGTTGGAGATCATCGCGGATGCGGATTAGTGGAACGCACTATACAAGCCATCAGAAGAAGATTGGGAGTAATGTTACTCGATGAAAACGTAACATCAATAAAATTATGTCGTAGTACAATACTTCGTGATCTTCGTTGGAGTAAACAGAAGACAATAAAAATGTCGCCATTTGAGGCTCATTTTGGGAGATTGCCAAAAACAGAATTTAAAATTCTCAGTGATAGGTTTTTACGAAATTCTGATCGTTTAGATAAGGAACACCTGGAACGTTCGGCGCTGACTACCTCCCAACTTAAAAAGCGCATTGACCAGTCTCGGGATAGTCTGAAGATTGTCCGAAAAGGACAAAACAGCAGAGACGTGAGTCCCCTATTCAAGCAACAAGTCGACTCGGCCCAGGATCGGGCAAGAGCGCGGGCACTAAAAGAACTTCTAGAAGCTAATGCCAGATGGAATTAAACACGACGCGATACATCTGCAAATGATTTAAGACGCACGGTAGACGATACGAGTACTCTTAACCCCGAATTACGCAAAGAAATGCTGTACTCGTGGGAACGTGGTTTTATCGAAGATAAACCAGAATTAACCACTAACCAACGCCATTCGTCACCAATCTTGATCAGAAAAGATGCGGGGAGGAAAAGCGGTAAGGCTCTTACGAAACCATTGAAAGGAAGAGTCGTGGCAGAAACGCCCTCCACTGTCAAGACAGCAGCAGGGTCCATATACCGAAAGAGTGACATTGCCAAAGTCAAGATTGCTGTTCAAGACAAGGATAACAGCAATAACAGACGATCTCCAACAGGAGAAGAACCCAAGAAAAAGCAGCAAAAACAGTCAAAGCGGCAGTCCGATGAACAGGACGAGGCGGAGAATAGTGGATCTGACGAGGAATTACTGCTAGAGCAGCGAATCATAGATCCATCGGAGGCAAAACGGAAATTTCAAGACAGCCCTACAGTGGTCACGTCAAAGGATACTATACAAGGCGGTGGCCTAAACTTAGCGGTTCGAAGAGCCAAGCCAAACTTGGCCGGTCCATTCTCTAGAACACCCAAGACGAAAGGGGGCACAAGCTCAAAAGATCCCCAACCAATCATTTCACTAAATAAAAATGCTGCCACGGCAGCAGAAGCTCAAGAACCTTAAGCGGAAACACAAGCGGGTTCGTCAAACCCAGGAGGCGTACAAAAATCGACTTCTACTCCTCATAGCAGTACGAGAAATAAGAAAAAAATTTCACGCAATACATCTCCAGAAACAATTTTAGACACATTCAACAGTAAAGATCTATCGGCAGCTGATTGGAATCGTTTAGCTGACCAAGTGCTCAAAAGAGGAGTGCAACGTACGGCGGCAGATATATTGCAATCTAAAGAAGATGGGGAAGATGAGGAAGAATCCAATAACCCTCCGGGGTTTTTGGACGAATCAGAAGTCGAAGAAACATCGGTTCGTAAAAGCGGAAGGTCCAAAAAGGGACCGACTAGATACGGGAATCCGATTAAACATTCGGTAAAGTCGATTTCTTACCATAATGATCTTTTAGACCTAAATCAGGCCGCACTTGAAGCATACCGCATTAAGTTAGCGAACTTCAAACCCGATGCGTCAAATTCGGTGGAAACAAAATTTGGTCTGCTAGAAAAACACCTTTTCAGAAGAAAGTTCGGCAGCGAGGCTCTCGACATCAATCGTTCCTGGAATGCTGAGTGACGAATCCCATTACATTTTGAGGAAGAGCATGAAGAAAAAGATGGAAAATGATTCCAAACCAAAACCAACAAAGAATAAAACTCTTTAAACTGAGTATTAAAACTCCTATTCATTATTATTAAAAATTTTATTACAGTATTATAAAATTTTCTTGGCCGAGCGGGGTATGTGGTACCGCAACTGCTACTGCATTTGCAGTAACCATATAGTGGCCTTGGTCATGCTGTTCATATTGGTATCTGTAAATTATATTTTCCTATTATGTAAACCAAGGTCAATTACTACGTGACCTTTGTTGCTAAAAATAGAGAGCTTGTCTCTCAGATCTGTGACTTCGTACACAGTCGAACTCGGATAAAGAAATCCAAATAAAACAATACGGTTTCAACTATTAAATTAACTCTGTGAAACCAACTCCGTTTTCATTATAAACCTCAGAGGTTCAATTATTTTTGTTTAAACTTAACAACCCTCCCACCCCCCCCCCACACCCCCTTCACTTAAAATCATCCAAAAGAGCACACATTTCTATTCCGACAAAGCGGCTTATGAACTCCTTTTGAGTTTTTTTTGATAAAACGATCACTTTTAAGAAAAGAAGCTAGATTGTTTATATATCATGTTCCTTACAAATTCCGCTTGGACTTCAAAAAAAAATGAACCCAACAAATAAAAAACAAAAAAGAGATATTTAAAAGTTGTTAATATGATTCTTAAAATAAAAATCTGCTTAAAATTTGTGAACAAAAATTTGCGGCTCTCATTCTTACTGGACAGATAGTTGATTAGATTTGCCACATGTGTCCTGATCATGGTCTCCTTGAACACTGGGTGAATTGTCCCGTTGGCTCTGCACACAACCAGACGCATCTGGCCACCCCTCTGGCTCCGGTACGAATCGGGACTCATGAGGAAAAGGGAGAAACTCATGTCCGGGTTTAATCTCTGGAGCATTCTCACAGCACTCGCGGGCACTTCAGCTGCACCTACGCGCAATAATTTAAGATGAAAATATCTATGACTAATTTAAGATGAAGAATCTCTGACTAAAATTGTAAGCATAATTTTAGTCAAAGAGAATTAAGAAAAGACTGACGGCTCGACTCAAGAAAAGGCTTTGAATTTTTTGTTCAGTCGCGCCAGTCGCGGCGGCTTCTTCTCAGTCGCGCTGTTCCGGAATTGGCAGTTTTCAGCCTCGACGGTCGCTCCAATTTTCTTATGTTTCGCCGGTTGCGGTGTTTTTTTTTCAGTCGCGCCAAATGGCAGCAAAATTGAACAAAATTCAATGAAGAGTTATACCGGCCTGTACAATCAAATAACACAACGGTTCTTAAGATAGCAAAAAATAGGTAAAGGTACATTCATGCAGGAACACGCAGAACAGGGAGTTTAGGTAGATGAAGGGGGACTATAGTTAATTTAAACTTGCACTATAGAGAAGTAAAGTATATGTAATTTAACATAATCAAACTAAATTTAAATTTTTTTTAGATTACAAATTACAGATTTAAAATCAAATTACAAAAATTTTAAAAAAATAATTAAGGCTAATATAGATAAAGGGTAAACGAGGGGATGTACATAGTGGGGACGGCGACTAAAACTAAATTTAAAAAAATTCAAGAAATTGTCAGGTATTATATAAACTCAATTAAAATTGGAAAAATTTGAAATTGACTGAGACAGCTAAATAACTAATTTCAGTTTGAAATGATTGTTATCAAGAAACACTGCTTCACGTTAGATAGAGTTTCTCCTGAAAAAAAAATAAGTTGAAAATCAATCCATAATAATCGACTACAAAGAATATATAATCGGTCAATATTAACACTAATGGCCTGGTTTTATTTGCTTGCTTTGAGATTTTTGATTACTCAATTCTGATTGACTAAAAATAAGCCAAAATAAATTTCAGCCGAATTTGAGTTTCTACCCTCTTCTCACATCCTCGCATCTTCTTTCGCCACACACACTTTGTTAAAGTTAACCACAAAAGTTACCATTAAATCAGCTACAGTTGCTATTAAATTGGCAATTCTATCATTACGAGTCCAAACTGTGCATTCTGTGAATTGTATGCGGATTCCACAGCAGGCCAAAATCAGATTTGTCGCGGAATCCACATCATAGCTACTTTTTTTATCTTCTTTGCTGTTATGGATTCCACTAACAAATAATTGAAACACTGTTCCGCTCAAAATAGCTCCAAAAATAGACAGTTTGTGGAGTCCATAAACAAACAATAAGACATGTGTATAGTTTTATTGAGCTGTTACGGAATCCGCAACTGTAAGCGGAATCCGCAAACTGTAAGTGGAATCCGCAAATTGTAAGTGGAATCCGCATTTTGTTTGCGGATTCCGTTTACATATATGTATATATGTAGTAGCGTTTAAAATTATATCTTTTAATTACATGATTTGGTTTTACTAGAATATGAATTTACTAGATCAGTGTTTGGGATTAATGGAATCCCAATTACCGACCTGTATTTTGGATAGATTAAATCCCAAATACTGAACTAATTCGACGATTTGCTAAGCGTTGGTTTTCTAATCACTCTCAACCTAATGACTTCAAATAATGAGTTTATTCCATTTTTTTCCATATTATTCCAGTTTTTGAGATTACATCAATCTCAAATACTGACCTGATATGCTGTGTGATGTGTTTCCATAAACTCTCAACCCAATGACTACAATTACTGAATTTATTCGGTGTTATGCTTACAAAATCAGTATTTTAGATTGACGCAATCCCAAATATTGACCTAATTTTGGTAATATTTCCATACTTTCTCAACTCAATGACTCCAAATATTGAAATTATTCGGTGTTCCGTTTCCAAAAAATTAAAAGATGACATCCACCTATTTAGGCAACCAATGTTTTAAGACTTGTTCGTGGATTCCGCTGACAATGGTTAAGTCCTTGATTTTAAATTCCGCATTGCTAGAGAAAAGAATTCCAGCTCTAGCTTTTAATTGTTCATATGCAAGTTCAGTATTAAACAAAATTCGGAATCCACTTACAGTTCGCGGAATCCGCTTAAATTTGCGGATTCCGCTTACATTTTGCGGAATCCACTTACAGTTGCGGAATCCAAAACAACTAGCTATATTCGCTTGGTGCGGAATCCGTGACACAACAAATGTGCCGACAAAATTTACGTTACACTCATATGTACGCGAAGTTCACGGAGTTTTTGTAAGTGGAATCCATTTACATTTTGGAACATGTTTAAAAATTAGTTTTTGGAGTCCAGGAACATACAGACACCACATTGTGCGCCTATCCAGTGCACAGTTTGGCCTAGTAATGATGCAGCAAAAGGGACACCAATAAAGTAAACTATTTAAATAAGACGAAATTGATAGGAATCTCATGTCCTCAAGTCTGAACCATTTTTTCTTGGAAACAAAAGAAGCCACCAAAGAAGCGGATCCAGCTAAGATAAAAACACAGAAGCTTTTTAATTTACGACGTAGGTTGTAGAAAAAGTTGCTTCGTAGTATTAAATTAGGCTTTGCATGTGTAAACAGCAAACCATTTAGACAAAAAATTAGACCCTACTCAATAACGTTTGGCACTCACTCGTCCAGTGGTCGCTTTCATTAAACTCAGCTTGCTTCAATCAAAAGTCACTCAGAAAATTTTTTTGCAAAAAATGATTTTGTATCAATGGGATGAGCTGGGCAGATAATAGTAATTTGATTGAACATTTTGAAAGTTTTTCCTGGATCCAGTCCTGTATCAATTGTCAAATATTTCTTACTCCTCGTCTCATTGCTGATTGAATGATAGCTTTTGGGATTGAGCGAATCACTGATGATATCTGGTTAGATATGGAATATAAACTCACGATAATTTTCACGCTTTCCATAATTTATTTATTTGAAATTTTTGTCATTTTGATATTTGGGAGAAACTTTTCAAAAAGTTTTTTCTCCCTTTGACCAAAAAACTTATTCGAACAAGAATGACTATCATGATAAGAAAAAATTGAGACTAGAACAGTTTACGCAGAGCCTTTTCTGTTCCGACTTTCGAAAAACAAAATACGGAAAATTGATGCTTGAAGTGACTTTGTACCATCTGATTTTTTTTTGTCCGGAGCTCAAATATAAAAAAGTCATATGTGATCAATGCTTTAAAATTACAGGGTTTTTAAAAATCCAAATTTGGCCAATTTGGGATAATTAACAAGGCATATATTGCCTTTGTGTATCACGCATAAGCAGCGGATTAAGTTATTCCGAAATGTGCGAGGTGAGTCATTTGGTCCCATTATTAAGAATCGAGACGCTAAGTACATTCCTCTTCCCATGCACTTACATAGCGCGTGGAAGATTGATTGTCGAGAAAAAATCTAGATTTTTTTTTACTTTTATCAATTTTTCAACCAAAATAATTTTAACTGGCGTTATATTTCAGTCAAAATATTCAAGATTTCCTGGCTCAAAGTTCAGCTGCAATTGAGAAACAAATCTTTCTTTTTGCATTATTTTGAACAGTTTTAGAGATGTCCAAATTAATAGATCAATTTTGTATAAGCAATGCTCAATATTTTTTCGTTATGCTTTACATAAAAATCGATGTGAAATTTTTTCTATGTTAAGCATTTCTATGCATCTACTGGATATATTGGAGCTAAATTGATGAAACATTCGTGACACATCCTTATTAGAGTTTTCTGAATTAATTTTAAAGCTCAAATTTTGAAACAATTTTGATTTTTTTAATGTTGAAATTTCACGGGAAATCACTAGAACCCGCACGGTTTATTCACGGTTGTTATCACTTTTTTTTGTGTTTTTGTAGCTAAAAAATTTCTTTTGGTTTTTTTCTCACTAGAATTATTAAGCAGAAAAACCAAAATCGTAACTAATGAATTTTCTGGTCAATAAAGAACAGTGTGTGACAAAAGTCGAAAATAAAAGATCGAAACAAAGTTCACCAGCTGTTCAGGCGCTGCCTTAAATTGATTTGTTAATGTTTTCATGTTACGTATTTTATGTCATTGAATTCTGTTTTTAAACACCGAAATTTATGGTAGTTCGTTATTCTTTGTTGACTTGTAATTTCCACTAGTTACGGTTATTTTACAAATGAAATGATGTCTTGTCAATTAGCCAGATACCCGAAACCGATCTACCTCAGAACCAAAACGAGGTACAAATAGGTGTTTCACTTTGAAAGCTTTTTCATGTCGATTAAAAAAACAATTTGTAATTGAATTTAGAAATTTTTGACGCAGCGTTCGGAAAAAAATTTCACATTTACCTTGTTTGACCAAAGTACGAACACACTGTGTGATCGAATTGGTTCGATCTGTAAAATTTAGTTGCACCCGGATATTGTAATGTTTAGCTTCATTTATTTGGTTTTTCCTGGCAGCTTGTACTTGATTGTTATTAATAAAAAGTCCTTTAAAAATCACTAGCATTCCTTTTTAATTTATCAGGGATTGAAATTATGTTCCCTAGAAAACTTTCAATAAGTCATTTCTATTTGTGACCATTCACCGTAGCTGCTCTTCAGTCAAACTAAATTGTTTTTAGCCAAATTGTATACCAAATTGTAGAACAACAATTGAGGAATTCGAAAAAATTTATTCGAAACTTTTTTTCTGATCAATTTAAATTAAATAAATCAAAATCGTGAAAGAGGCAAAACAATGTACAATCAAGAAGCTGTTTTTTTTGTTACCAATGAGTTTCATTTGTTTTAACTGATGAAATTGATGTGTTGTTTTTCTTGATTATCAATGATCACATAATTAAAAATTATGATCATGATAGAGAGAATAAAACAGGGGGGATAATTAACAAGATAAAAAATGATTATGAAAAAATTTATTTGAAAAATTCCCAATTGTAATCAAAGAAAGTCATTTAAGATTGTTGTTTTTGGCCTGGTGTGATAAAAGAGGCTGAATGAAAAACAAAATTTTTTACGTTTTTTTGC